TTAATGTTCATTGTGGAATCACAAAACAAAGTGTCAATGGCTGTGGTTCTCCTAAGCCCTGTATTCTCCTGTGCAATGAAACAACTGCATGAAACTGCAGTCATGGTTCATTTCATTTAAGTTATACTGATTTACATCACTTCTTTGAAGAATAGCATTTTAATTATTGAAATCACAATTTCAGATACCAGTGAGACAGATTCTATTTAATTATCATTCTTAAAAGTAGAAATACATTGTAAATACATGTATTACTATTCTTATTTTAATAATGTATTTCTACCATTCAGTTTGGGAGATGGTGTAGGTTGGAACAAGGGTGACAAGTCTGGTTATAAATGTAGGATATTCTTTTTACCAGTATTAATTGAAAATTAATATGAAAACAGTTCAGAATAATTGCTGATTGTGTACCTACCTTCTAATGAAACCTGCATCTCTGAATTTGTATTTGCAGGGAAATAGGTTTCCTGATGCAGTCCAGGATTTGTAGTTTGTTGTGGCACCAGAGCTCTCACAAAACTACAGATCCCAAAATTCCATAGCATCGAGCAATGGCAGTTAAAGTGGTGTCAAACCAGATTATTTCTACAGCGCAGATGCAGTCTGTGACCTTTTTGTCTTCAGAATGGCAAGGCCGTGAGAGAGAACAAGAGAGCATACACTTAATGTCTACCACTGACAGATGCAAATTATTTCCAGTTTCCATAAACTGCTGCTAATATGTTCATAGAATATAATTAGAAGTTGTATAATTTCTTTTCATGATATTTTTGATATAGACTCTTTTTTTGCTAATTGTTTTAACAGGTTGAATCTTATTTACATTTTTAAAAAATCTTATTTTTTTAAAAGCAATTACTGATTTGTATCATCCCTGTGTATGATAAGGATTTTATGACAAAACAACATGGAATGTTTGTTCACTGTTTCTGAATGTTACCATCGACTGAACAAAATAGTCTTGCTGTAAGCATACTAAACTGAATTGCTACCCTGAATTGCTGTTTACTAATCAGTCGTGTTAATCAGTCCTTAAATAGAGAGGCTGTGTGGTATACTGGTTTGAACATCAGATTGTGACTTTGGAGACCAGGGGGTTGGACCCCTGATCAGCCATGGAAACTCACTGGCTGAACTTGGGTAAGTCACACTCTTGCAGCCTTAGAAAAAGGCAAAGGCAACCCCCCTCAGCAGAATTTTTGCCGAGAGAACCCTGTGGTAGGTTTGCCTTAGGGTTGCTATAGTCATAAACAACTTGATGGTACACAACATCAATATATTTCTGATGAAGAATAAAGGCTTTTAGAATCATTGGTATAACTTATCATAAAAGAGCTTGGTTTTATTTGATGGGCATTTGAAATCATTAAAATATACTCCCTTTTCCTACTACCCTGTCCCCAATGCATGGTTTATGGTCAATGGTCTAATATGCTGTCATTTACCTGTGCTTTGTCCTTAGGTGAATCTTTTCTGGACTAGGAAGGCTGAATTTTTAGGATCTCTCATCTAGGATCTAGCTGCCTGTTTCATAAGGACGGATTTGTTAAGGCAAGTGAAGCCTCTTAACCTCTTTTCCGACTTCAAAAATCTCAGCTCACCAGTAAATGAAGGGGCTGAAGCAGAATGCAGTTGGGTTTTATTGAAAGGCAGCAAGTAGGGAGACTAAATAATTGCTTCATGGAGTTGCAAAAAGTGGAGGATGAAAACTGTCTAGTTACCATTAGTCACCAGGACTGCATCTTGATCCATCTAAGTTGGCTTTAAAAAGGAGTTATACAGTACAGTATGCGCAGTATCCTTGAAAGGTGCCAGCATGAAAGTACCATTTTAGTTAGTATGGAGAAGATGGATAGATGTATAATGTAGCAGCAACACTATTTGTTCTTGTTAATTGGCATGAAGTCCACTTCATCTTACAGCGTCATTGTGAATGACAGACCTCCAAGTGTCCCTGTTATCAACAACCCTGGTAAGGTCTTCCAAACTCAGGCTTTTGGCATAATGGATTGAGTCTATCCACCTGTAATACAGTCTTCCTCTTTAATGACTGCATTATAGGTAATTATATTTCTTTTGATAATTGTGTGAAGGCAGATAGTTTTGGCATGCTTCTAGCACAGTGATGGTGAACCTTTTAGGGTCCAAGTGCCCAAACTAAAAGGCCTTCTGGCACTGGGTGTTACCCAATGCCGGAAAGGGGGGGGGATTATCCCTCTGGGGGTGGGATGTATGCCCTCTTGGGGCATGACTTCTTTCCCCGCCCTCCCAGGCCTTCAGCTGCTTCTCTGGAAACAATTGAAGGCCCAGGAGATAAGAAGGGGAGAAGAGAAACAGGTGCGTGCTTGTTCCTCCTCTTCTTATGCCCCCCTGGCCTTCAACTGTCGCTCCTGAGGCAGCTGAAAGCCCGGGATGGCCAGGAGGGAGGAGGAACAGGGGTGCCCCCTTTCCTCCTCTTCCCCGCCCTCTGTGTGCAACCAAAAATGGCTTTGCTTGCCATCTCTGGCACATGTGCCATAGGTTTGCCACCACGGCTCTAGCACAAAGCTGGGAGAATGCAGCCATTGGGATGCATGTGGCCCTTAGCGCTCCTGTTTGCCACTGAAGCCCCAAAGCCTTCAGATCCCAAATCTGGCTTATTTTTTACCACCCCAAAACTGCCAGAGTTGATCAAAACCCCTTCAAAATAATTTCAAGCCCACCCCCACCCTGTTGCCTGAAAATAAAACTATATTGGGCACTCAGTGGCCAACCAGGAGAGTTGTAGGGGTGAAAAATGGCCCCAATCCCTCTGCTGCTGGCCGTCTGCTCTAGTAGGCTGATGGTCAAGTGCCAATAACTGATTCTATATCCACAATGCCATTTGTTGTTTTTGTATGCTTTCAAGTCGTTTCCGACAAGATGACCCTAGATTTGATCAAAGGAGATTTGTCATTGCCTTCTCCTGAGGCTGAGAGCATGTGACTTGTCCAAGGTCACCTGGTGGGTTTTATTTCTCCTTTATTACCAGCTATCTCCCTCATGCCACACTTGCCTTTCGCTCATTCTTCCCCATCTTCAGCCTGCCCATCTCTCATGCAGTCACTTATTTCTATTGCCACCTCTATGCATTGTAGAGCTAGGTGCCTACCTGTTGTACTTGTCATCTTGTGGAGGCTCTTCCTTTTTGTTTCTGTGTGTCCATGTTGCAGGCTTCACCACTATAGATTTTCTGGAGCTTCTTGGCAACCCTTGATCTTCAGATGTGCTGGTCTTCTCTATTACAGCTGCTCATTTGCAGTGTGGTTGTTAGGCTCCTTCTGGATTTCTCCTTTTGTGGTGGTGGTTCTGCTTCTTCTTCTATTTTGTGATGTCATTGTGATATCACAAGTTACATTAAGTAACCATCCATTCAGCAGAAGTAGAAAGGAGTTACTTCACCTTACACACATTATAGCCATTGGCAATGTTGGAGATAGTCACTGAAACAAAGTGTGGTTCATTGCTTTCACATAGGTTTGTATGCTTATCAGTTTAGTTGTTTTCAAATAAGTCGTCATCTGTTGCTAATAAATTCTGTTGTGGGAATTGCAAATGCATACTACAGATTGAGTGCAAGTACCTTCTGGAGACAAGGAACTGAGCTGCATGTGTAGGCTGGAAGTTTAGTGTTGCAAGAAGTAACACATATTTCTGCACGCAATGCAGTAACTGTAGTTTATATAATTCACTTCCTCCAGATGTGGCAATGACTACCAGCTTAACTTCCAAAGAGGAGTAGACAGATTTGTGGAAGCAAATCCTGTCAGTGGATACCATTCATGATGGATATGTGCAGTCCTGAGAATCAGCAGCAGCCTCTGAATACCAGTTGCTAGGGAACAGGTGTTGCGCTTGTGACTTTGAGGAGCATCTGAGAGAAACAGGATGCTGGTCTAGATAGATAGATATCTGCTCTGATCCAATAGTCTTCACATATATTTATTATCATTTTTATATATACAGTGGGTCCTTATTATCTGCAGGGGTTTGGTTCCAGGACCCTCTGGATACCAAAATCCATGGATGCTCAGGTCCCATTAAATACAATGGCATACCAAAATGGTGTCCCTTATATAAAATGGTGTATATACTTTTTTGGAATATTTTCAAGCCATGGATGCTTGAATCCGTGGGTTAAAAAATCTGTGGATAAGGAGGGCTGACCCAGTGTGATGTACTTCACA